ATTTTTCTTTTTAGGCCAAGGAATTATTCAAAAGATTATCTTAAACTGTTATATTTATGATAGCAAATTTTATTTGGAGATTATATGAAGGATCCATCAATGAGTTGTTGCTGTTTTGCATCTCTCTGACACAGTAAAGCAGCTCTAAGTTCTCTGAGCTTGTTGGATTTGCAGCTGCTTTTTGCTGCCATCATGACACAAAGCAGTGAGATCATCCTGGTGAATCTGGTCTGTAGCTGATATCCCTTAGATTAGTTATATGTCTTCACACAACACTGTTCAGGACTTTGGAAATTTAGTTTACAGACCATACAACATAATGAGAAGAACAGGACAGACAGACCGACAAGCTGTCTGGCTGGCTTTGTAAAGTTCAAAGCTTTTAGACCAGGCATTTCTCATGGATTTCTGAAGGATTTATTTACTCTATCTACAGTGTAGTAGAGAGATATGATTTCTCATTGCCATGCTAAATCCTTGACTGCCATAGCTTTAGATTAGTCAAGAAAACTTGACTAAATTAGCAGCATGTTCTACTTTTTTTCTGGGTTTTTTTCTTTTACAACCAGAACCCATTCTTCTGCTATGTGGATCAGTTTGCATCATGGTTTTATTTATTCCATCTGTTAAAAATGATAGCTTCCTCTAAATAAATCTAATCTGAGTACTCACATATTCATCTATGTCGCTGTGCTCATTGAATTCGGAAGTATCAGCTTGCCCTAAGCATTTCAGAGCTCAGGAATGGAAGGCGAACTGCTTAGACATTCACACAATGATTCAAAACCAACCAATCCTCTTTGATTACTTACAGCCATATCTCAAGTCCTGCTTGAAGCACTTCTGGGTTATGTCAGGAAGAACAGTCTGTCCTTGTGTGTCTCCAGAGTAAGCTGTACTACCCTCTCTAAGATAGAAGAGCAAATGGTTTCCATGGTATGTAGGTCAAGCAATGCATTGTAAAAGTCTGTCCAAGTCTTTTTCTCAGAATTAATCAGAAGTCTTTTTAGTGGAGCCAGGCAAAATAAGAAATAGCACCTATTTAATTTTTTAATTTATTTTTTTTCTTGTACTTAAAACAATCTTTCAGAAATATCAACATGATGAGTCTTATTCTAGCCTACTAAATATAGAAATTAAGTATTCCAGACAAAATTACTATAGGTAAACAAATACAACTATTATTTGAAACCAGATAATACTTCTATATAATTACTTCTTTTTTTTTGCTTATACTTTGAACAGCAAAACTGATTAATACAGCAAATAAAAAAAAAAAAAAACAAAAGCAAAACACTAAATCATTCTATCTCTACAATATCAGATTCGTTTTATTTTATTTTATTTTATTTTATTTTATTTTATTTTATTATCTTTTAAGGAGTGGGGGATTACTCTGTTCTTTTAAATTGAAAGATCCATTCCCAAGGTAGCTATGAGTGTCTGGGAAACCACTGTATTTACAATAGAGAAGCTTCACGATGGCCTTTGTTTGTTATGGATTAATTATTATGCAAAATACTCTCTGCAGTTAAGGTGGGGATAATGGTCTTGTTTAGAGACACTATATACTATTTTCATGTGAAAGTTAACCAGTTAGGTTCTATGACTGGAAAAATAAACTTTTTAAGTCTCTATAGGTTTTTCTATATGGAATCAACCAAATTATGCATATAGATAGATGTAGATAGACATGGAAAACTCATACATAGAAACACATTAATTTTCAAGAAAAAGTACATAACTTCTGTGCTCACACCCCACAGTGTGAAGAATGCATTTAAAGAGCAACACATATACCATAAGCACCTTATGAATTTCTAACACAACCTGTTCAGCTGCTAGTAGTAATTAACCCTGATCACCTCCCACATGATAAAAGCATTGCTACTTAAAAAATTAAAATATGGCCCTTTGCTGGATCTCTAAAGAGGCATATCCTGTTGGGGTTAATTGAAATTATGAAATATGGCAGATTAGCTGCTTTGCACTGTCTTTGGCAGAAAAAAATTAAGTCTGAAACATAATCCTGCTTCTCAAACAATATATTTCATATCTCTCATACCTTGCTTTGCCCTGTTAGTGGAGTTCTTGACAAGAACTCAGGACATCCATTTTGATGTGACTGAACTTGTTAGAAGAAAGAATGCTGTTAGTTTACTGAACGGGATTTTTACAGAATAATTTGGCATTGAAGGCAAATTGAAAATTAAGATTTTGAAAAATAAATTGAGATGTTTTCACTGCTAATGACCACACAGATTTACAAAAAAAAAATTAAAAAATACAGTTTTATACATGTTCATGCAGTTGACTTAGATGCTGCATTTAGCAGACCTCAGTGGAAACTGCCCAGCCTGCACTTTTGTTGAGAACAAAAAATAATTATGTGTTCTGCAACAGTTACCATGTAATTACATGAAACTAGAGAATGTATTTGACATTTATGTTCCATAATTTATAACACTAGTGACTGAATAAAACAATCCTGCATAGCTGTGTAAACCTGTTCTAACATGTAGCACTTCAGAAAGATAATACTGTAAGAAAGAAGGCACAGCTTTCTTCGCCTCTATCTGTCTCTCTTTTTGTTTTTGCTTTTGTTTTGTTTTTTTTTTTGTTTTTTTTTTTTTTTAGAATATTTTTTTTTAAAAACATATTTCCTTTCCTCATTAAAAAGCAGAAAATTCTATAAAACAAGAGCAGGACAGAGAGATTTCCTCCTGACTGGACATGTTACTTGTGAAGCAAAATATAGATTATCATTGAAGCAAGATAGTTGGCAAAAGTCTTTTGAGCAGCATGTGGCTCTTAAGCAGTTCCAGTGCCTCCCCATGCTGAGACAGCACCATGTGTCTGACAGGAAGGCTGCTGAAAAGTCTCAGCCTCCAGCTGTGGGAGGAAGCAAGTCAGCCAACTCTGCAGAGGGGTTGCCCCATCACCCCAGGCTGTAAATGCCTGCTTGTCCAGATGCACCTCACATTGCACTGAAGACATTTTGAGTACCAAAACCAGGCCTCGTCACCTGAGCTTTCCCTTGGCATCTCTTTCCAAACTGAATGCAGTATATTTGGGGATTATCAGCCTAATAACCTTATGGAAATCTGAAATGCACTGGTATTATAAAATAAAAATACTCTTGTATGATTTTGCATCATACTAATGAGAATAATTTGTTTTCTAATTACATCTGAAAGTAGCAAGAGTTCTAACATTACACCATAGAGCCTTTTCTGTACTTTTAAGACAGCTTTCCTTGAAAAGAGACTCAGGGACTTATTTTCCTAATTTCTCAAGTTAGTCAGAAAGCAGCTACTCATGTTTGCAACATAAACAACTTTGAGAAAATATCATGGATATTTTCCTCTGATGTTTAATATGGAAATTTAAGTGAACTAATTCCTAAAAACTTTTGTTTAGGTTTATTGTAAATTACTAGTACTGCTGTAATTAAAAAAAAAATGGTTTCGTGGTGCAAGATTGTTTGTCTATGATTTCTAAAAGGAATGAATACATTAAATATTTTACGAGGCTTTTAAATGCTTGATGATAGAGATTCAGCATGGTCTATTCTCATGCTGAATGGCCAGGAACAAGAGGCCTCTTTTATTGTTCCCTGTAAAACCAATGAAATGGAACCAATTGAAATATTGAGCACAGAGTCACAGGCAGAGGATAATAGCACTTTCTGAATGGCAAGAACACAACAAAGTGCATCTCAAGAGCTTTGTTTGTGTGGAGCAGATCTCTCCTCAGAATGGACTGTCTGAAGAGGCTTTGCTTAATGCACTGTTTAATAGCAGGGCTCTTCAAGGTCTCCCCACTCCATTATGACATGTGCACTGCTGCTCCTTGGATATGAGAACAGAAGTAAAACAGAGAAAAAACACCGAGTTTACTTAACCCAAATGACTTCCACTCATTTTCCAAATTGCACAAGTATCTAACAATGAAAAATATTAAATCCAACATTCACATCATATGAATTTATAATTATAGGAGGAGACCTTCTACACATTAAAAGCTTGTTTATGTGGTGGAACTGGTAGTATTTTTACTGTAAATTGAAATCGCAGAAGCTTTGTGATGGTGAAGATTAATGAAATACAAATTTCAATATAATAGCAATACTTCTGCTAGAACTCTGCAGTCAGAAGTTATAAATAAGGTACAAAATTGATATAAAAATCCTTCTTACAGCAATTTGTTTGACTTACAGCATTTGGTTGACTGAACTGTGCACTTAAACGCCTTTGCAGACCCTGAAAGTGTAAATACCTCTACTAATCATATGTGGGCACTGCTTGCTGATGCAAGCACATCTTTTAGTTACCTTTACAAATAATATGGTATATTGAGATGGCAAGCACTACTAATTGTCTAAAAATGCTTATCATCTGGGAAGTATTGGTTTCTTTTCCTTAAAGAATGACCAGGCCATGGGGTGAAGGAGATGCGGAGAAACATTGCTCTAAGAGGGAATTGTGTTTTGCTTCAGTGAGTCCATTTTCATGAGAAAATCAGATTGCATTAGGGCATATGCATGTGAATTCTTTAGGATATCCAGTATGTAAATACATTGAATTCTGAAGGCTTAATTGTAAATTATTGCAAGAGAACACTGGGATCCCAGTCAAATCCTAATGCTGATACTGCAGCAACTACTCAATTGCTTCCTCTTTCTAACAGAATGAGCGGCTGAAAAATAAAAGTCAAAAAATTAAAGACAAAAGAAGAAAACATATTGTACTAATGTCATCTGACTAAATAGAATCGACTGCTAAGTTTAGCTGATCAGAAAGTTGAAATTGTGGAGCAGTCAGTGTAATATGCTGTTTTTCAAAATACTGAAGACTAGAAGTATGGTTTTATCTCCCACTGCAAAGGACCACTAGTATTCCTAATTAAATAATTAGTACCCAGCATCTATATTCAGAGTATATTGAAGAAAAAACTGATGAACATATTTGATGTAAAAGTCTTCCAAAGAAATTACTTACTTATTATGTAAAGGATTTTACTGACTCCTCCCATGATTATTTCTCATCTGAATAATGAAGAATGGATATTCTGAAATAATAAATGAAAAAATCAGCATCCATTTTTCCTACATGAGTGGATTTCATACCATTCCTTGGCTATGATGAACAGGCCATGTATCACTGCTCTGGATTCTGAGGTATGCACTACTCATCACCTCCCAGCAGTGGCAGGGAGGAGTAGCTGCCTTCTCCCTTGAGGCAGCAGTAGGTTCAGTGTCTGCCTCACTCCATGGAACCTTCACTGGTGGTAGAGGGATCTGGTGACTACACATTCTGGCTCAATTGGTTCTTTGTCTTTCTAGCTGTTTTTTACTTTTTTTCTCACCTCTCCATCCCACATGGAGATTTCTTGCCTTCACACTTGTAACTGCTCAATTTCTTTTCTTCTAGATGCTTATTATCTCCGCTTTCTGGTTTTCTGTCCTTTCTCCCACATGCTCTTCCTTATGATACCTCTAGCTCAACATAATCTTAGTCATCTATGCTACATCTTCACATATTATCTTACAGCAGCAGGGTTTCATTTCAGGTGATAACATTTCCTTCTGTGACTGACATTTCCCTTTTTTACATTGAATTTTCCTTCAAGTGAAATGTTAGGGAAAATATTTGTGTGTGAAAATTATTTCCATTTATTTATACAGCAATCTTAGAGGCACACTAAAACCTTTTTTTATAAAATAAACTAGAATGCAACATAATACAAAGATAAAATTTAACAGTAACCCTCCTTGAACAGAGATTCACTTTATCCTTGGATATAACATCATAATAGAGAAAATTGAGAGTTGAGTTTGAGAAGCCAGAAGAATGGAAACTTAAAACAGATATTAATATTTTTTATTTTGCCTTTCCATAGCAGATATTTGTACCTCTAAGACATTCTTTCACATGTCTCCATTTTTTGATTTCTGGGTTTTTTTTAAAGAATGCTTCACAAATTAGCTTTTTTATACAACCTTGTGCAGTAAAAAAAGTCGTTGACATTTTAAAGAAAATATTCAATTCCACATAAATGTGTCCTGTACTTGCACAGGTGGGTGCAAACAGAGTTTTGGAGCCCACATTTATTATTGCAAATATATTTAACGTCTAATAGTTACTCAATAAATGAAGTTTTTATAAAAAGTGTACAGAAACAGTATTTTTAACTTTAAATTGGTTCTCAAAGAATGCTGAAGTTGACATTTATGAATACAAAACAAGCTTGAGACCTGAAAGAGTCTTATAATAGCTGCTGTCCAAATTTTTACACAGCTTAACTAAAGCCCCTACTTATGTTTTGTTAACAGACCAAAAAATAAGGACTCATCATAGATCAGGAAAATTAACTGTATTATTTTAATTGCAAAGAAATCCAGATATTGTCAGAGTTTCATTTGGTTTTCAATTTAAGATTTGTAGTTTACTTATGATTGGCTTTACAGTACAGCTCAGGGTTTAAAACTGTGACAAATCAAGGGTTTAACACTGTAACAAATCAAGGACTTCTGAAAACTGAGCTGTCTTTCTTCCTGTTGTTCCCTATCCCTGGGCCTTGTATTCTCTGTGTCTTACAATACTCAAAGTACTTCTGCCACTCTTCCTCTGACTCCTATTTTGGCCAAAGGTGCTAACTTCAAAAGAAAAGAATAATAAACCAATTTTCATTATTCTTTTTTAATCCAACATTAGCAGGCTGAATTAACAATTAAGATGTATTGGTATTCTTTCTCTTCTAATCTGTGGGTATTCTCCTGTTGGGTCTATTATATTCTCAGCCTTTGTTTTACTACTTGATACTGTTAGCAAATGTCAGTGTTCATCAGTATCACAGTTTGCTTTACTGCAGGAGATGCTTTCAGTTGAATAGAAATGAAAGGTGAAATGCCATTAGAGAAACAGTGTTAAGCACTGAGACTCAGTTCTTCAGAATGATGTTTTTATTATTATTTTATGGCTCCAGAGGACTATCCTTTCTTGATAGACAGCAAAAGTGAAAATTTTAATACACTGTCATGATTCATCTTCCCAGTACTTGCCTAATTTTTCTCCTACAAGAGAGAGAAAGCATATTGAAAAAACCAAATAAGAAAACCGAAAACATCACCATAATACATGTAATTACCTACAGACAAATTTTCTGCTTCTTGAATTTGATAGAAATTCTGCAGCAAATGTAAGTGTAGGAATAACACCTTGCCAGTTTTGTATCATGTGTACTGTACCACTCATCCAGATCTGAACAATGTAATGGGAAATGGGAAAAAGGGAAGGGAGAAGGGAAGGGAAAGTGAAAACTGAAAGGGAAAGGGAAATACTTGAATATGTGTCTCTCAGTCAGTCAGGTAATATGAACAAACTTAAATTTATATAACTTAAATATGTTTATAAATATATTCACTTTATGGGTCTGCCTGGGTTGGAGTTGATTTTCTTCATAGTAGCCAGTATTGTACTGTGTTTTGGATTTCTCACTAAAGCACTGTTGATAAAAACAGTATTGTGACTATTTCTGATCATTTCTTGTATAACACTAAGGTTGTGGCGGTTTTGGATTTTTTGGATAATTTCTTTTTTTTCCAATCTGCTCCCTACAATGAGTGTGCTGAGGATAATTTTGCTGAGGATGCAAAAGAATCTGGGAGGTGACACAACCTTAGCAGATGACCCAAACCAATCAAAAGGATATTTGAAGTAACATAACATAATTTATGCTTCTCATTAAAAACTGTGAGGAAACAGTCATTGCTCAGAGAATAGCTTGTCATGCCTGTGGGAAGTGGTATGGGATTACCTTTGTATTACTTGCTTGTTTGGTGTTATTTCCTTCATTCCTCCCCCCTTTAAATTGTATTCATCTAGACCCAGGAATTTTTTAGTTTCACTTTTCTTGCTTACTGCCTTGTCCAGCAGGTACAGGGGGAAAAAGCAGTTGGCTGTGTGATTTTTAGGTGCCTGATGGGATCAACCCACTGTTATATAGAAAACAGAGGTTTTCAGGTTTGTGAAATAAATTGTTTCTTTGCTTAGCAAGAATAAAGGGAAAGGTAACAGTTTGAGTGGTGGCAAAGAGATCTGGTGAAAGTGATATTGTAATTTACAGAATGGTCCTGTGAAGGTGATCTTAATTTTGTGTGGTATGTATAAGCATGAGTAGTGAATATGTAAATACTCACTGGGGAGATATAGAGAAGGAAATTAGACATTATTCAGTATTACAGTAACATATTTAGGAAAAGACAAATACCAGTGTTAGTTCTTTCTATCAATATTTTTCTCTAGATTTATTAATTCAGATAACATTAGAAAGTTCTGTCTTCTAACAACGTGAATACTGGTGGTTAATGTGTAGTAGATAGGGACAGGCAAACGGAAAATCTCAGGTGTGACGGAAAGAAAGACCCCCTTCCCCCTCTCTCAGAGTGTGTTGTTAGCCCGAGTAGCCCGGGTGAAGCTGGGCTGCCGTGCTGTTCCTTGCAACCAGGTCGCCTTGCCTTCCTTGAAGGCAACATATCTGATGCCGAAACCCGGGAAAAATTCGCTCGGGTAGTGGGTGTCACCTGGACAAGAACAACGGCCAAACCGGTGAAACCGTGTTCTCGGCGAGGGAGACGTCCCGGGACCCGCGATCGTCATGGATGCCATCGCCAGGGTCCTAAGTGCGATGCATAAGCAATGGGGTATTGAGTGTAGGCTCAAAGACTTTTATCTTGCTATAACAAGGCTGCTTGAGCTTGGGGCAATTGAACGCCCCGTGGATGTTTTGCATCTGGAGATATGGGAGAAATGCACAGCCACGCTGGCCGAGGACACGAAATCCTCAGGCAGTGGCAGAAGCCTTAAGGCGTGGGGCAAAGTCAAGAAAGACCTACACAGAGCAATAGAAGAGCAGAAGGCATGGAGCGCGGCGCGCACATGTTTATTGGTTACACCCAAGCTAGGCGTAGGAGCGGCAACGCAAACCGCCCCTGAGGGTGATCCGCCCGGGAGCGGGGATCCGGGGGGGCCCGGCGCGTCACCTCCCTCCCCGGGCCAGAGCCCAAACCCCCCTGCAGAAACCTCCCGAAAATCTGCAGCTTCCCCATCCCTCCTGCCGCCACCAATCGGTGACCCGTTGCCAGAGGTGCAGCAACGCTCAGAATCCTTTTGGCAGGGACTGGCGAGGGAAGCCAGAGACACAGAAACCGCAGCTTGGGAAAAGATCCTAACCATGCCGCCACCCTACTCCGTTGAAAATGGCTCTGGCAGCCGAGGAGAGGGGCGGGGCGTGGGCGGTCTTGGCGTGAAAATCCTGGAGGCGCGGGGTATTACGAATGAGCGTATGCAGAAAAAAGAGGAGGAGAGCGGCAGAGGGCTCGGAGCCAATCGGCAGCCATGCCAGACGCTGCTACCATGTAAGGGAGAAACCCCCCCCTGCAGGAGGCAGGGCAAGCCCAGGGGGCGGGAGCGGTGCCACCCCCAGGGGGAGGAGCAGGGTTGGAGCCGGACAAAAAGGCACTGAGCCCCGGAAGTTCGCTGGCATTCGACTTCCGACTCGGAGTCCAGTAGCAGCTCCGCCAGCTTGGAAGAGCTGACGGAAGCCAGCTGGGACTCTGAAACAGAGGAAACGGAGCCAATGCGATTTGAAACAAAACCGAGTAAAGCTTTAAGCCGCACCGAAAAGCAGCCACAATACGAACCAGCCCAGTTTACCGACTGGAGAGAAATAAAAATAGCCTGTGCTGAATGGTCCCCAGCGGCTGCCATACAAACCTTCCCGGTGAGGATCACCGGCCCAGAAGGAAACCAACAAAGGGTATATACCCTGGTAAACCCAAAAGATGTACAGTCAATTGTCAAAGCCATTGCAGAAAAAGGAATCAATTTGGCCATGGTTTCCACTTTAATTGATGGTCTTTTTGGTAATGACGACTTGCTTCCCTTTGATATAGAACGAATAGGTCGCATGATACTTGATGGTGCAGGAATGATTGTGTTTAGACAGGAACGGGAGGATAATTGTACAAAGCTATTAGCCCAAGCATCTGACGCGAGGCACGTGGTGGC